TTCTACTCAAAAATTTTGATTTGAAGAATCATATTTAATTAAATGGTTGAAATTTTTTTTTTTGCAACTTTTTTTTTATAAGAGTATATTCTAATTTTTCTGCAAATAATTGAAAAATGGGTCATTGTAAATCTTGTTTACCAAAAAGACCATGCAATATTCATCTCATAAGTCTATAGACATATATTTAGATTCAATCGATGCCAAAAAAGGGAAGACTTCAGTTTCAACTCAAAAAAATTTGGGTTGTTCAAAGACTAGAATTATGTTGGGTTACTTAGAAAAAGTAATAATTTTTTTTAGTTTAAAAATTCGATAGGTGTTTTTAACTTGAAATCTGAAGTAAAGTTAAAAACTGAAACAATAAGATAACAAGATTAAGTGGTTTTGAGAGTAAATAATTAAGATCAGTGTTATTAGTTTAATTCGATTTAAAAGAAGTGATTTATGTTTTAAACGTGATATTATCAACAATTCGTTCCGAACAGCGGAATAGATCACAAAAAAATTATGGATAAAAAATATAATATTTCTAGGGTTTGTTAGAAAAGTAAAGACATAAAAAACAATAAGACAACGAGACGAGCAAGACCAAGTGATATTATATGTCACAATGTGTGAAAGGACCGCCGAGACGCCTAAACATTTTCGTGGAAACAAAAATTTCATTTGATGAAAGAAAAAATTATGGCTTATGGTATTTTGTTTATAATGATCAGTAATTCAACATATTATATTTATTTTCTGTACGAAATGTAATTCAACATAATTTTAATCCAACATACTTATGGTATTTTCATATTTTGTTTGTCACTTTTTTATATAATAATTTTGTTTATGAACAATAACATGTATTATACTGTTTTAATTACGATTATGTTACGTCAAAATATTACCTTAAATCATTTTTTATATTAAGATCATTCTGTTTTTTGGTATTACGGATGTATTTTAAATTTAGACGTTTTGTAGTAATTTGTACTTTTGTAGTGTAAAGAGATTTTATAGGGAATTTTGATTTGTTTGGAA